CAGTTCGGTGGCATCCTGTCGGTGTGTGAACCCGGAAAAATGCGTCAACCAGTTTCTCAGTCTTGACTTCAATTTGGTCTTCTTGATTCCTTTAATTACCTGTGGACAGGGCTGGTGGTCTGTACTATTCCCTGCAGGGGCCCTTGCGACTGATTTTGCGGTTTCTGACGATGAGGTTCCCGAACTGTCCGCAGCAGCAGCAGCAGCAGCAGCAGGATTGTCAGCATCCCCAAAGTCAGCAGGTCGCTTTACACTAGAGACGCCTTCAGAGCCTTCGCTCTTATTTTCCACTTGCCCCTGTCCTTTCAGGACTCTTCGCGAAAAATCGGTTTCAGAGTTCGAACGCAGCCCAGTAGAAGCGGTTGCGAATAGCCGGTCGTGCATACCTATTCCACCGCTTTGGTAAACGAGTAAAACATAAAAAGTCCTCTATCTGGGATGCTTTGGGCCTGTGTCATGCCTGGCCTTGGGCCTAAACATAGAGGGCGATTTTTAAATAGTATTGATCGCTCGTGTGCATGGCTCATCACGTGGTCTCGCAATGGCACCAATCACATGGGCCAGCCGTTTGAGGCGGTACACTCGCCCAATTTTGCCTAACAAACAGACCTCGTCGAAACGCCTTTTTCAACCGCTGATGGTGGTTGCTTATTTCCATGTTTGGCGTGCTTCTTTAAATAAGTGTAAAACAGCTCAAACGTAATTGGTGGGAAACGACATGAGCTGTTGGTGGGCTGGGTCTGGCATTTTCTGTCCGTTATCCTAAGTCACACCTGATTCCTGCCGCAAAAATGATAAATGTCAGAAGATTGGCGTCCCTTTGTTGATGTTAAGTCTTCAGCTAAATGGTTTTACCTGGGTCAGGAAACGTGATGAGGAAACTTGGAAAGCTCCCCTTTGGGGCGTTGTGCGTTATACTTCTTCGCCTAATCTGTTTAAGGGAACGCTGTTTTTCCTGCAGCCGGAATATACTTTGGTCTCAGAACTCGTCTCCTCTTCTTCCTCTTCCGGGGATGATGTAAGGAATATTTTGTCTGGACCTCGAATTTACTCATATTAATGTTTTTTATGTATTTTTGTCAGGTAAAATTTTAAAAAATGTGAGTCTAAATTAATTTTACTTTGTGTTTAGACAGCCTGCGACGCTCCTGTGAAATTGTGATAGGCAAAAAATAGAAGATCAATATTTTGGGCAGTCTAGTAAGAACATTGAAAACTGCACTGATATTCTAGGAGCACTGTAGAACTCAGCGGACTCAACTGCTATCAGAAATTCCATAATAATTTTGCTAAAGAAAATTTCTTTTGATGCATAGCAGTGCATCTGCTAGTTCTATTCCAATTCATTTATCACTGATGAGCTTCGCAGCATGTGAACTTACGGAAACTTATATCAAGCCTAATCCACCTTGTTTGAATCAATCGCATCCTGAGCGGTACAAAACGGCGAATTTCCTCGTATTCTCATGGAAGATTTCCGGTACTTATAATAAATTATTACGCCTTTAACTATGTGCCACAGCTCGGCTTAAACTAATTATCAGGAAATAATTATTACAAATTTATACAAAGAACAGTTTATAAACCTTACTGCACTAAGGAATTTTTCGAATTAATGGAAAGGTTCGCGTCCCAGGTATTTGCATGGATAAGAAAGAAGACGTGTCGAGCACCGGATCAATTGATTTATTGT